AGTTTTTAAAGAAATAAATGATTTGATCTTTTGAAGAATGAAAATAGTTGGGATCAATATTGCCTTACTTCAATGCTTTTGAAAAGTTGTTGGTGAACGAAAAGTGAAGTGGCATTTATAGCAGTGAAACCGCCTGAGCTTCTGTTGATCCGAAAAAGTAATCTGGATGTCCATATCTGAACTGGATAGTATAAAAGTAGCCGTTGTGCATCAAATTTGGAATTGCCAAGTTTTTCATCGTTGGAGCATCGGAACGTCTGGTTGGACAAAGTGTCCCCGGACACTTTCCTTCATGATAATTTGATCAATGTAAGCTTTTGAAGGACTTTTTCATTCAATTTTTTCAAGGTAAGGTTTTGTAAATATTTGATTGTCAAGTTGAAATACTTACCTTTTGAAAGTAACTTTCATGCAATCATTTTTGTAACGTGCAATTTTCTCGTGTATAAAAATTCTTTTTTAACTATTGTTGATTCAATGCTAAGAATTAAAAACATTTTACCTTTATATACAAATTTAAAGCATCTACGCCTAATATCTCAATATTTAACGTTTGACCTTTTCTCCAAAGCAATTTGACGTAAGTGCTCGATTTTTGTATTTTCGTCCATCAATTGCAAATTTTGTTTCCATATCGATCGTCAATTCGCAAGTCTCTTGATCTTGATCTTCGTGTCTTCATTTATATAGATTTTTCAATAATCACTATAAACACTCGAATTCAGTTTGTTAGAAATAAATACAATTTGGTTGTGATAATCAAAACGAGATGTCAACCATTGGTCAACAATTAATTGCTACAAGTGCGAAAAGATTGGGCACATTAAGAAAGATTGCCGAGTGAAGCTATCTAAAGCTAATGTTGTTTGTGAAGATGAAGAAGATGATTAGCTCAAATGGGAGCAATGTTCACTATGGAAGCAATAGAAATAAAGAGTAGCATAGCTCTCAAACTTGAAGAAAATAAAACTCCAATTAACTATGCTAATTACAAAGAAGAATAGATTATTGATTCATGCTGTTTTCATCATGTGACTAGAAATGACTCTTTATCTTCAGATCTTCATCAACATAATGGAGAATGAGTCGTCATTATAGTAGACAACTTAACTTGTCCAATTGTAAAAGAAGGATTCGTGAAGATTGGTGCTCCTAATACATATATCAGGCTAAATGATGTTTATCACATTCTAGGTTTATAGAAGAATTCAGTTTCTGTATCTCAACTTTAATTCTGAGAAATATATTCTGTTCAGTCCAAATTATGTGAAAATTCTGACAGCTTATAGAATATTGCAGCTGATGTCGCTTTTTGTTTGTGAAAAGGACTATCTATTTGTAATGTCAGTAGGAGAGGCATATGTAAAGAAAACAAGTCAGATTGATAACGCAAACATTTTACATGCATGACTCAATCAAGTAGGCTATCAAATGTTATAACTGATATCATCAAAGAACTTGCTAGATGGAATACCAACTTTTAAGAATGTACATGTAACTTTTAAGAATGTACATGAGAACGTGATTTACCAAGGATGTCAATATGGTAAATCTCATCGGCTACCTTTAGAGAGCTCACGAAATCGCATATCAAGACCATTTGAGCTCATTCACACTGATCTAATGGGACCAACAAAAGCACCAAGCTATAATGGTTATCACTAAGTTATGTTTTTGGTTGATAACTATTTCAAGCATGCTTGGGTGTATTTCTTGAAGGAAAAGAATGAAGCATTAGCTAAAATTGTTGAATTTAATAACACTATAATAAAAAGTAGAGTTCAGGGAAAAAATAAACTGTTTGAGAAGTGATAATGGTAGAGAATTCATGTCAAAAGAATTTTTTAAACATTGTGATAGTAATGGCATCAGATAACAAATGACCTATCCGAACACTCCACAACGAAACAGAGTTGCAGAGAGAAAGTTAGCACATCTCATCTCAACAAGCCTTTCCTGGTTGCATGACAAAAATCTCCTCCAAGAACTTTGGACAAAAGCGGTTCAGTGTGCGTGGCATGTGATCAATCGGCTACCTACATAGCCATGTAAGGAAAAAACTCCTCTCAAAACTCTATATAGGGAAAAGCCAAATGTAGATTACCCTTGCGTATTCGGTCTATTTGTTATGTTCACATCCCTAAGACCAGTCGAACTAAGCTAGAACCAAAAGCCAAGGACTACGTGTTTGTCGGCTATAACTATAGCAGAAAAGGGTGGAAATACATAGATCTAAAGACAAAAAAAAAAAAAAAAATTGTTACTTGTAGAGATGTTGTGTTCCATTTAGTGTCCTCTTTGTAGTCTGATTAGAAAACAAAATGAATGATGTTTTCTAAGATGATCAAGACAATTTGAAGCGTCTTCTCAAAATAACTTGCAAGCACCTTGCAATGATGATTCTAGTTGTCAAATCAATGAAGAATTCTCAAGATTAAAATGTTGAGATTTTTACTCACTAGCATTACTAAGACAAAATTTTGATTATATAATATGAAAATTATACTCATAATTTAAAATTTGAACTGCGAAATTTTGGGTTGCAAACACCATGCAACCATATATATATATATATATATATATATATATCAAATCTATTATATACAAATAATATGTAGATGATCAATGTGGAAGATGATGGAGCTCCATTTATCACCTTAGTTAATTTTCAAAAATATAGAAAATTATTCCCTATTTTATTTGATGATGGATAATGAAAAATTTTCATGAAAGAGAACAAACATCGTATAAAATTGAATTGAAGAATCTTTTGTTTCTTCATTGAATAACCATTTAAATTTTTTAATTTCATTATTAATCCAATCATCCAACTGGTCATCTTGAACAATAAAGTCAAATTGAACTTCTAGTTCAATACAATATGTAATTCGATGATTTAATTTTGAAGAATACAATTAAAGTTTATATAATCATATATCATTCAAATATTTAAACTAATTAACGTCCTCATGACTTTAGTTATATGTTTTTTTTTTGGGAATAAACATGAATTCAAAATTATATATTATTTGAAAATGTGCTACTTCGAGAGTACATTATCTTTAATGATTACTTCTTTAAGAGCAATATGTCAACATTCTTTTGAAATATTGAAAATTATAATTCATGCTCTTCAAGAGCGATAAATTAATATTCCTCTTAAGTATTAATAATATGGGAAAATTAGCTTTCTTTAAAATTACAACCCAATATTGAGTCGTTTAATTTGTATTTCTTCATAAACACATTAAAATATATATTATTCGGAATATGTCTTACTTCGAGAGCACGTTATATTTTATCATTACTTTTTCAATAGCAATATATAGTCTTCTAGAATATTGAAAATAATATTACACTCTTCAAGAGCAATAAATATAATATCGTGCTACTTTAGGAGTAATAATATAATAAATTATTAATTTAAAGTTTATAGAAGAACATCCAAAAATATTTAATTAATATATAGACATGATATAAATTTATACAAAAAAATTATTTCCAAAAAATGTTTAAATAAAATAATCTTCCAAACATGCACGTAAATTAACTTCATATATAAATATGCAAATATAACAAAGTAATCATTATGCATATAATGATATAAATGAAATAATCATTATAGATTTGTGTAAAAGCAAAAAAAGCATAGAAAATGTGGAAGAAAAAGCAACCTTGTTTTGATATATATGTATGTAAAAAAAAATTCACATCCTACCGAATTAATTTTGGTACATGTGATAGATGACATGAAAATAGAGAAAGAGAAGGAAAAATAAAAATCAATAGACTTGTGTGCATTTTATTAAGAATCAAAGCTGTATATTCATAGGACAGAATTAGGGATAGGGATACAAAGATAATAATTTCTAGGATTCAGGGGTACAATTGTCATTCATTAATAAATTTACCATTTACAGTAGTAATTATTTATTAAAACCCTAATTACATAATTTTACTTGAGACAATTTAGGTAAGAGCCTGATTGAACATCATTTTTTATTCAAAATACGTTTAGAAATAATATTTTGATAAGGGATGTATAGTTGAAAAAAAAAAAAAGTGTTTTAAATTTACATGTAATATTATTTTATTAAAAGAAATGTATGATTGAAAATAAGAAAGAAAAATATATTTTGAAAATAATTGAGACCAAACAAGGATTCAATAAGAAAAGCACTAAAAATTGTGGTGTAATACTATTCATTATACCAAATTTTGCAGTGTATATAGGGTCTCATTGGAGAGGATTTTACTCATTATACTAAATTTGATCCCACATTAGAGTTAGTCTTGTGCGTGGCTTACCAAGTACAGAGAGGGAGACGCAAAGAGTGCTTGGCTTGATTCTACCATATTTTCTGTAGTTTTGTACTTATGACTATTATTGTTGTGTTTACTGGCCAGTTTTGTTTATTTTTTATAGAGTGAAGACAAAAGTTTGACAGAAATATATATATATATTAATTTAGGAAGGACAATGCTACATGTAGGAATGGCAATTAGACCGTCAATTCGAACCAGGCAAAGCCCGAGTTGGTCCGTACGGCTCGCAGGCTTAGGCTCACGAACTTATATTTTAAAAAAAGTACAAAACAAGTATTTTAAAGACAGCAACATGCGGGCCTTAAAAAAAAGGCGGTAGATGCTGTCTTCTTTATATTAGGAAAAATTAAAAAAAAAAACTAAAATCGAGCCTGCTCAAGTCGAGCCTAATTTTTTTGGCCAAGCAACTCGGGCCTGAAAAAAAGCTCAATCGTTTTACTGGAGTTGAGCTTGAGTCTCGAATTTCGGCTTGTGAGCCGGCTCGACTCGATTCGTTGACATTCCTATCTACGTGTGCATACTTTTTTGCTTAACTTTTTACCTATTACTCACAATAGGGGGCGAGGAATATTCACGCGAGGCTCGCATGCATTGTGAGACGGGACAACTTTCGATACATTTCATTCGGTACAAATCGAATTGTCCATTTAGGAAACCTTTCAAAAATGAAACTGTAAAGTGCACATGCTTTACTCTATAGATTGAGGACGTTGGAGACAAGAGATAGATTGGGCACCATAGTGTTGCAAGTTTCCTGATTGGATAATGAGCCAAGAGTGAAGGAAAATAGAACACAGGGACAAAATTCTCATTTCACACTGAAACAACCCACCAAACGCATTCATTTCGCAGCTTGTCTCCATCGAAAACAACCAAAAACCTCCACTTCATCCATCCGCTCAGCAATCCCACCAGTCCTCATTATCTTTCCCAAAATCAAACCATCAAAATCCCTAAATTTCCCCTTCCGGATCCGGCAATGAAACGCCCACTTGCCGCCGTTGGGGACATCAATATGAACAAAAAGCTCAAACAACAAGAAGAAGAAATGTCGAGAGAAGCTGAGGCCGTACTATTACACGACAATCTGTTGTTCGAGGTGCTGAAACACGTCGACGACGGGCGTACATTAGCCTCAGCTGCCTGCGTTAGCAGACAATGGAAGCGGACGGCGCAAGACGAGCGGCTGTGGGAGTTGATCTGCACCAAGCACTACAACAGCACTCCTCTACAGCTCCGAGTCGTCGTTCTGGCGCTTGGCGGCTTCCGCCGGCTCTACTCCAGCCATCTCTGGCCGCTTCTCAGGCAGTCTTCTTCGTCTTCGTCTTCGTCTTCCCCGTCGTCTGTTTCTGCTTGGCCTTGCCTTCCTCCGGCTCCGGCGGAGAGGCCACGGTCGAAGGCTCGGTGGGGAAGGGATGAGGTGAATCTTTCACTGTCCTTACTTTCGATTAAGTATTTCGAGAAAATGAGTTTTAATCGAGGAAAATAATCATATTGCATAATTAATTTACTAATATTTATTTAGACTGAATTTAATTTCATATGAAATTTTCTATTTAATCTAAAAAAATTCAGTTTTAATTATTATGACGTGAGATTTGGCCTCAGTTTGATAGGAATTAAAATTAGATTTTTAGTAGATTTTAATAAAATATTAATATATATGATTAAAAAATTATGAAATTAAAAAAATAGATTAATAACGATTATTCAATTTTGACTTAAATTAAAATATGATTTAAATCAGTATCAAGGAAGACCTCTTGTCTAAGATCTGTATCAATTATCATCATTTCATTTGATTGTCGGCGTGAATATAATGGATGTACCATACGTGCTGCTCAATGTACCACTGTTTTTTCTCGTGACTATTTAATGAATCTTTTATGTTTAACCTAATTATTTTATGATCTGAACCGAATGGATGTAGAATTTCATCATGCAAAGTTTTCAATATAAATGTGTCAAATTAAATTTAGAAAATAAAGTATGTACACATGAATATTAGGAGGGGGAATGATGCATATTTTTTTATTCATCGACAATATCCAGAAACACAAAATATAAAATGTTCGGTTACGTTATATGTACATCACAACTTATAAATTTGATTTGTTTATCAACAAATGATGTGGTGAGATATAATTGGGTTAAAGTCTTTTTTTTTTTTTTTTTTTTTTTTTTTTTTTGCCATAT